GGCGATGCAATTGTCATAATATTTTTTTTATTATTCAGCAAATGTAATCATTTGATGCAGAAAAATTTCATTCTATTCATAATATTTCTTATTCACAATCTGCAACCTGTTATAATAAACTTTTGGACATGTGCTGCAATATGAACAAATTCTTGTAGTAATGCGCAAATAAATGTATTTTTTCTACCAACTTTAACTTTACAGTTTATTTTTTCCGTTTTTACAAAATGTAAGTTAGCCTATTGTTGCAGCAAGTCCTTCAATTAAATGCTACTCTAAAACAAAAGTAATCAAAATTCTGTGAAAAATTAACGGAAATTATAATAACTCGTTAGTTTTGAGTAATGGTAACGGTAACAATTTACTTTTTTAAAGCTGGATTGTTCTACCTTTGGTAAACTTCAGCTTACTTATGCTCTTTTATTATTTTGTTTATTCAGTAGGTTAATTATTATATAGTTTATCCGAAGATGAAACAATCGATCCTATATCAATAACGAGCAACGAATTATTTTCATAAAGTTTTTTTCTAATTCTGTTTTTAAGTATGTATGTAAAACAATATATTTTTATGATATAAATTTAAATCCTTATTATTTATTAAAGAATTAGTTTTAAAAACAATATTACAAAAATAATAGACAACTAATAATTAGTACACAGTTATTATTAATGTACGTTATAATTCTTCTTTATTCTTTATTTGTACATATATTTCCGATGTTTCGGTTGCTTTTTTCAGCTATCTTCTCTCTCTCATGGTATAATATTAGGCTTAATAATCCAAAATTTAAATGCAATTATTCTGAATATAGGCGCAATTAATTCATCCAGGGTAATTCTCCATTTAATCAGTAAACGGCTTTTCTTAACAAGTCAAGATTTACATTCTGAAAAAAGCAGCCGAAACGTCAGAAATAAGTGTATAGGTGAAGAACAATGAAGAATTGTAACATTAATCATAATTGTGTATTAGCTCTTAGTTGCCTATTGTTTTTAATATTGAGAGCTCGATTAATTTATACTGTAAATTAGTTTTAGTTTTGTTTAATTTGATTTTAGTTAAGTTAGAAGTAATTTTAGTTTTTGTTTAAGAATTATGGTCTAATATTGTACTTGACAAGATGTAAATTAAAGTAACTTTTAATTTGTTTAAAAAATAGTATGCAATGACTTCTTTGTTAAAACAAATACTGCATTCAGATGTTTTCTTTGTCATCTGTCGGTAAGATATTTGATTGATTCTTCTATAATCAGTTACAATGTGAAACGACGCACAACAACATATCGTGCCGTGGTATTACGAGGCAATAAGAGGACACAGTCAGAAGTTATTATCGTCTCTTGGGTATACATTCTGTCGTATCCAGGATTTATATTCGTCCGTAATCTAAATTTCATGGAGATTCATCTCATGTCTCACGAGATAGGCTCTTTCGTGTGCGACACGTATATTTCAGATCCTCGTATATTTCATACGAGCTCCAATCATTTACCCCTTCACGCATGTGTAACCCCATAACAAGATCTTTAATGTGTAAGTTAAAGAAAATTACGAATTTTGCGAATAACATGGAGTGATATATAAGATGATATTTTATAATACGAAATGTATTATAACATATAACATTTTCAAGATATATCTAAGCTATAATATAATAATAAATACAATAATTTAATTATACCGGATGAGTTGAGTAATTTAATTTATTTACGAGGGTTTACTATAATCTTTAAAAGGAAAGTTTATTTTTTTAATATTACAGCTTTTTTTTTAAGTAGGATTTATTATAATTCATTATTTCGTAGTATCTCTTGTTTTAAAATATTATATAACATTGTTTCAGCGCCACTATAATGGCGCAATTCTTGTTCTGTAAAGGATAATACCTGTGTATGAATAAAAAGCATCTAATAGTGCATAACTCAGACGTTGATAATTCCGATGGTGCATTGGCTATTTGGTTATCTGGTTGGCTATTTGGGTCTGATTGCAAGCAATAAATATAATGTCACGCCGCTAATACGTATGGAGCAAGCATTCCCTATCGTCATTAAAGTCATGAAGTTATGGGATCCGACTAAGCATCGTTCCCTTGATGATGGACGTTAGTCGGATATTTGACGCATTCGATACGAGTCTCAGTGACCATTCACAACGTACGACGATGATTTATCGCATGCCATGAGTTGCGATGGTCTTGGAGGAATGTCGTGGAAAGCTCTTCACGAGACGCGACGCGGTCTTACTGCCACTTCCATCGAGTAATATTTGGACCGTGACAAAAGAATTGTCGCGGCGGATGTTTTACTTGTGAGAAATGTTTAGACTATAAACTATAATATAACACATACGTATAACATTGAAATGAAAATATCTGGGTAAAAAAGCATAAAGTTGTAAAAATATGTTACGACTCACGAGAATCACCTCTTCGTATAAATAAATTTTATTTACGGCAACAGTAATAGTCCCTTGTTCATGCATTTTTTAATAATGAGTATCCTATTACCATACTGCAATCGTAAATTAAAGTTAGATATAACATTTGTATATATTTATACATAAAAGAGATTAAAAAAAAATTGTACCAGCTATTACAAGATAATATTGTTTTTTTACTTCAAAAGTGACATAACTATTATAAGAAAAGCAATTTTCGAATTATTATTATAAATTAGGTAAACGTTAGAAGTGAGCTATTTTAATTTAACTTTCTAAGAAATTATAGAAACGTTATTCCAATTAAAAAAAAAATGTTAATTTAATTCGCAGTTATTAGAGTAGTTTTAATTGCGTTTGTAGTTCGGAAAAACAATTCGGCGCACAGTTCTAAAAGACCTACAATATGGTATATACAAGTACATATATAATGTATATTAGTAATTCAAGATTGAATTATTTAAAGCAATGAAGATCCAGCTTCGACCATAATAGGCATTTTTTTTAGTATTGATTGTGTTTCTCATATATGCGGCCTAAAATAAAGATTCTTAATACTTTAAAAAAAGATAATTTTAAAAAATTATTAAAATCATCATAAAAAAAATATTTTTTAAAGGTTGTGAAACAAAAATGACAAAAATGGCATTTATATGTTCAAAATATGTTTTTTTTGCTGATATTATTTGATTTTTTCAATAATTTTCTGTCATGTTAAAAAATAGCTTTTCCCTTTTCTAGAAAATGTAATTCTTTTAGTTGTGTCACTTTTAAGGTAAGGTAGCGATATAGTCAGTGATTTCAATTCTCTCTCTCTCTCTCTCTCTCTCTCTCTCTCTCTCTCCTCCTTACTTGGAATAACAGAATAGCTCAAGCTCAATTTCTTGATTAACTCTTAAATATCTTTTCGGTATGGCATACCGGGTTTTCTTTATCATGTTTTCCTGATGTATTTCTATTGTTTGTAACGTTTTTATTAATAAAAACGTATACATTATTGTACTCGTTAATGCTTGTTTTTTCAATTAAAAAATAATTTACATGGCTACACCACAATGTATTATTTTGTATTCCTACAACGTGAAATATTGCAGCACTATTTTAATAGTACGGAATATTATAAAAATTGCAGCAGTATTAAAATTTTAATATTTTATTGGAAATATTGCAACAATATTTTAAAATGTTGTAATTTTAATATTTTGTAAGAAATATTATAATATATTGCAATATTATAATTCAACAGATAAGTACGCCACGAGTCAATCTTACCATGAGATAGATGTGCTTCTCAAAGAAGCAAACGTCCTACGAGAAAAAAAACGCGGTTTTCATTGATTGTCATTAGTTAACGATAGCGACAATCATCGATAAGACGTTAGAAAATCTTACTACAAGAATTCTAAGAAGGCATATGCGAGTCAAGTTGGCGAGTCTCATAGAGAGTCTCAAGCTCTTTTGAGTATATTTTTTGAATCATAATTTTAAATCATAATTCCCCAAATGTTTTTGGATCATAATTTCGTAGTGCATATTTTGGAATGTGATATGTTAATCAATAACAGTTTAACAATAAAATGGATTAATTGAAGGGATGGACGGAATAAAAGCCTAATTACCAAATTTTGATTTTAATAAAAATGAAAATAACTTGCTACTTTTTTCTTATACACAAATATAGTATCAACTAAATTTATGTAATGTTTTTAAAAAGTTACATGTTACAATATTTCTCTATTACGATCAATATTACATAAAAAAGCTAATCTCCGGAAAAAGAGCCTAAGTAGAATTGTGCTTTTATTCCACTCATTCCCTGAATTATTGAATAACGTCGTAGCAATATATCTACAACATTTTTCTAAATATTACAACAATATTGCAAAATATTGCAATACTATTTCATTTTAAAGGATATAGGAATATCGATGCAATATTTTATAATAGCAATGTTTTAACAAAATATTTTTCAAAATAATATTGCTATAATGTTGTTATAATATTTCGTGTTTAAGAGTGGGGTTTAAGGATTAAATATTTTTAGCTAATTTATTGTTCAACAATTTATACAGACACATATTATTGTTATTATTATTTAACTGCATCATAACTTATTGATGTATAGCTTTTACAGCGTTTTATAATCGATCAGCAATGTCATAGAACAGCTGGTCGGTGCCACACTTTTCATACTAAACGTCGGTCGAACGATTCGAAATTCTCGATACGATCTTTATGGAGGACGACATTGTGTTACCATAATTCACTCTGCGTCGTTGTGTTACTGACAGGTCAAGCAAGGATTCGTGTTGTTAATACTTGGACGTGCGCCATCGCAGTAGCGCGCACAGCACAAGTCATAAATACAATTCGCGTGTGATCTGTAAATCGATTTCGCCAAACTGTCGAATTGCAACGATAATTTAGGAATTAGCAACGCTTGTTTATTTTACGGAGCGATCCATTCGTATTTGTGTCTTCGCTTCGCCCCCCATTTTATCGCGCCCGCTCGCAAATTCACAACGACAGCACTCATTTCTCTTCTTGCGGTACTCACCTGTCTGCGTACCGGATGCCGAGAGGTGAGCCAAGCGGTAGATCGTCAGGAGCCGAAGAAGCCACATGACACTGCACATGACTGGCTCGGCACGCGGGCCCCTCGCTGCCTTATCTATTCCCGCTGCTGCGGCCTGTGTACCACGGCCTCGACATCGCCATCATCTGAAACACAGATACGGGAGTCGTGAATAAGTAGTCAGGCTCGTTTACGCTCCGGCTTATCTCTCGGCCCCACTCGAGTTCGCCAATTCATCGTGTCGAGTAATCCGTGAATTGGAAATCCCGGCCTAGCGCTGTTTCGTGCCAGCGCAGCGTAAGAAGATTTTCGTAAGATGACTTTATCGCAGTGTCGGGTTCTGACGTTAAGTCGTCTAGAAAATCGTTGAAAAATATACGAGCCGACAAATGTTTTATTACATGGATAATTGGGTTAAAAAGCATGATTTGCCAAAGTTAATTATCGATTTTATCAAACACGAGCTGTCAGACTACACTGAAAGAAAAAATTTGCTGCTGCAGCTAAATTAGTTGATAAAATAGAGCATAGCTGTAGCAGCCAATTTGTGGTTGCAGCAGTCAATTTTTGCTTATGTTAACCTATTCGCATTGTATAAGATTTCGATAGTCTAACGCAACCAAAAATTGACTGCTGCAACTAATTAAAAATAATATATCATTTTCCATCAATCTTTTCTTTCAGTGTACAACAATAGTGTACCGCAACTGTTTATGTCCGTGTACAGAGATTATAAATACCAACAGAGTCATTGTTAAGTATGGAAATTGGATGTCTTTCGCATTGGCGTATACAAAAAACCATGTAGTGATCCATATGTTAGTATTTCACAAGGCTTTTATTAATAATAATACAGTAGTGTCAAAAATGGTTATAGTAACAGAAACCGTACAAAAGGTCGGGAACGTAACGTTCATAAAAAACAAGCAGAGAGAAGTTAGTATGTAAGTATAAAAATAAAGCATATAGCAAGCAGAAGTTAGAGAGCGTATTACAAAATGGGAGCAGTTCATTGGTTCGCGAACATTTGGAACATGAGTGCTTAAAAGTACGCTGAACATTCTCAACAGTCATTAATAAAGCAATTAGCGTAAAGCAACTAGGTGTGGGACAAGTAAAAGTAACGTATATAAAAATAAAGGATTCCCAGTGTCACGAAGCAAATGTCTCGCGTAGAATTCTGGATGCGGGATGTTTTCGCGCGTCGAGAAATAACGAGAAAGAAGGAAGATGTGCGCGGCGCATCGTTGCCATAACGTAATTAACTCATTTTATACTGGCGCTCGTAAGTCGGCCGACTGCCGCGCTAATATGAAAGTATCGCCGTCTCTACGGGTATTAACTTCTAAACTTTCCCACGGGCAGAGCGTGCGAGGAGTTTAATTAAAGTATGATTAAACAGCGTAGAAGTAATTGAATGAAACAAGTAATTTCTTGCATTCATGCATTTGGTATGAGGTGTTATATATTGTCGACACGATATTTTAGATCACTTTCAGAATTTTAAACGGTCGCTTTAAGTTTAGGGGGCGGTTAGAATTTTTTTTTTAATTTTTACAGATTTAACGTTTCTTTGTATAAAACCAAAGTCTGTCAGCAAATTTATGGTCTATATGGTTTGAGATCTTTGAAAGATTAAATAAAATAGTAATTGAGAAATTAGATTGGGTCACTAAATCAAGAGATACCCTATACAGTGAACGCGAGTGAAAAATACGCGATCTCACGTATCATTATCCAATCTTGATTTCGACGACGTAGCGAAATCAAAGGCGACGCCAATTGAGGACACGGGATGGGACGTATCACGTATCGCGTTACGTAGTTCTTCCAATGGCTCGTTCATCGACTCTTTCATTAAAGATTACATTGATGCAACTAGAAGTTAACGATTTCAAGAGATTGCCAGTTTCGAAATTGAGTGCGTCACAAGCTTGCACTCGCTTTTTAAAATGCTGTTCAGAGTTATTGCCATTAGTGCGTAATTGCTTCAATAAGATTATATTCTGTAACATTGAATTTGTAGCTTCAAGAGTATGATATTAATAAGCGACATTGATACATTTTAATATGTTTTACATTTATTTATTTTCTTATTTGCTATATAAAAACATAATAATGTTTTACATAGTAAATAAAAAATACATTTAAATATATTATTTAAAAAACATATTTGAAATATATTAAATTTTATATTCAATGCTATTTAAACTTTATAGTCATGATACTGCAATGTATTTATACTGCTTGTTATTATATTTATTTTTCGGAGAACCTCGAAATGAGTGAATTTGCTTACGAGTTTCTGATAGATCTAAATTTATCTGCAATTAGGACGATAAATGTTAATGGAAAAGCCACACACCGCTCTTTTCCAAATTACATTAGCATAAAAGACCTAATCGGAACTCTCACTCCACAGAGGCTCTAAAACTTTTCTCGTATCCGGATTCCTATAACATCGTCGCTACGTGCTCGCTATTCAATTTCAAATGAATATACAAATATTTTAATTTTTCATAAAAATTACGGCACAGTGTGTAAGTTTCTTCACATGCTGCCACGTTTCGGCAAAAAGGCAACAATTCTTATTCTTCCTCGAAACCTTCCTGGTGCAAAATGTATCTATTTTCGCAAGTTACAGTCGGGAATCGATGTCACGTAGAAGAACCAATTTTATAGAGACATAAAGGAGCTAGGCCAAATTGGACGATATTGCTTCGTGACTCTTATTAGAATGTTACTAGGTGACGTATTCCTGCTGAAGCTTTCGCAAAACGCCAAGTCTTCAAGAATCGGTGCAGTGAGGGCGCGAGAAGGCGATATATCGTTCGATTTAAATCTCCCTCGCGGCGATGCGCCGTCACGACGCGCTATTAATTCCGAGCGATATATTTCGGTACGCGCAAGCACGACACGGAGAAAAGAGACTGCGCCATCATTGCAATTTATTTATCTCCAACCGATCTACCTCGTCGCCAACCTCGTAGTATATCTCGTTAGTTTATTTCGTTGAGAATCGTGGCCCAATGCCCAAAATCGTCCGTATATTGCGTTCGCACTACTACATTTCGTTTTATACTCGCCATTGGCTTCGCATTCTCTGATTCTTCCCTTTTCTCGCGTTCTGAATTTAAAAGTTTTCGCGAGTCATAAAATCTCTACTACATGGGATAACATTTACACTCTAAAAATCTTATTGTGCTAATTTGCGATGCTATACGACATTGTTTTAAACTTCTGACTTTATAACTTGTAACAACAGATATTTCTTAATCGAGAATCAACTTTTCTCTAAGAAAAACTTGAAGGAGACAGCCGTTATCTATTATTACACGGAAAGAATGAATTTTACTTAGGTGTTGTTTGATAGTTTGGTAGATACAAATAAAAAAATAATTTTGTTGGATCATCAAAATAATTATGTAGAAGATACAAGTATAATAAGCAATGCTGCAAAAAGTTTTGATAATCTAGCAATTAGTTTGAGTGTCCTACAGGTACCTTGAGCTGAATAAAACCTAATTTATTTTATTTTTTTTGAATTCTGTTTATGAGGATTGAAATAAACTAAAGTTATGCGTGTAAACTAATATTTTTATTTTTTTCTCTCTTATTTCATTGTAAACCTATCGTAGAATTTTGTACCCGATAATTTCAGTACTTCAATTTCATTATACAAAAAAATTAAACATTTCTATGGTACTCGATTTACTAAAGAACCACCTTAATGGATGATATCTAAAAATTATGATTTATATGTAGATAGATTGCAAATTGTTTATGTTTCTTACAAGCACATATGGCGATTGAAGGGCGTACTGTAATAGTAAATTAATCCACATTAAAAAAAAACTTTGAGACAAATATAGTAGTAGGGCTTGTTATTCATACATTTCCAGTATCACACGTTCGATTGTGAGTCCCATTATTGCAATAAGCCTTTCAGTTTATTGAGTCATATGTCATAAAAATTACATAGGGTAACTCCGATATATACACCGCACCTTTCAAAAACTTAATTTATTAAGTATTATTTACTATGTGTTTATAGTAAACAAACTATATCAGTAAAAACTTTGTACTGTCTACTATTATAAAAAAAATATTAGAAATCTTTATCCGAAATATTTATTTTTCATATTA